GACAAAGAGGACGCTCAGCACCCACAGATCACCTTATCGTGGTTGGGGACCCTCCTCCCCTATAGGGACAGCCCCCCCCCATGGCACACCCCGTGCTGCTGCTGCCTCCCACCCGGGCACGCAGCGCTGCCGGCCCTGGCGTGATGCCGGTGCCAGGAACAGCGCTGAGCCGTGACTCAGCACCCGGCTGCGTCCCCAAATGGCGCTGATTGGGCACCGGCCAGAGGGAAAGCAAGAGATGCAGTGGGGGTAAGCGATGCTCCCACAGCCCAAACCCGTTTGCTCGTAGCCCAGATGGCCGCTTAATCCGCCCCCAAAGCCTTTCCTGGCAGCCAGCTCCGTGCGTCACGGCGGGAGGGCTTTCCTGTGTCCCTCGTGCCCAGCTGGGGACACCGGCTTCAGGGACAAGAGGGAGCCTGGATGGAGGCTGTCCCCCATTCCCAGACCTAAAAACCATCATTGGGGGGCATCTGTGCCACCCTTGTCTGCCCACCCCAGGAACATCACCAACAAAAACCCCATTAGGAACAATAAAACCCCACTGCCCACCAGCACAGCCCCTCTCCACCCCACTCCCCCAGGTTGGGGACACACAGGGGACACGGTACAGCAGAGGGTGGCTTTATTGAAACACAGCTTGGCACTAACTGGCCAGCTCCTTGGCCACCACCTTGTGGAGTTTGTCACGGAGGTACGCTGCCCGCTGCCGCTCCAGCTTCAGCTCCAGGAACTCATAGTGGGGGACCTGGGGAGGAGAGGAGAGACAGTGAGCAATGGGGACATCACCACGGGGACATCACTATAGGGACAACACCACGGGGATGTGCTCAGCTCCCAGCCATGTACGTGGCATGTTTTTATCCCCACCATCCCACAGCAGGGATATGGGGCCCATGAAGCACGGGTGATGCTGTGGCAGCCTTTGGGCCGGCGCACACCATGGCAGAGGTGGCACCGAATTTGACGAGGCTGCAAGTAAGGCACCATTCCCTTATCACAGCCTTGGTAGCAATGGGAAGTTTCCTCAAAGCACAAAGCATTGCTATGGGGACTGCTTGCAGCCACCCCAGGGCAGAGCACGGATCCTTCTAGTTGTGATCTCAGAGCTGAATTTTTCATCCCAGCTGCAGAGGACGTGCAGGGCTTCATGGTCTGCTTCCTCCCATTTGCGCATCCCGGCCTCCCTGCCCAGCAGCACAGCAACCCCTGCCTGGTGAGGATGCACCACTTCTTCAGAGAGAAGCTGCAGCCAACCAGGAGGAAGGAACAGCACTGGGGTAGGGAATGAATGCTGTTTGCACAGCACTCACTCGTTCTGATGGCTCCAACCCGCCGGAGGGAGCAGACGGGGGGATCCCACCGCCCACCACTGCTATATTTAGCACAAGGCTCGAGCTGAAGGAAGCAGTTCCCTCCTCCTCCTCCTATCTCCCCACCTGAATCTCTCCAGCCAGTGAGTGCATGGGCTGCAGGGGCTTCACTTTGTATCAGCGTCAAAGAGCAGCAGCTCCGTGCGAGAGGATGCAAATTTGGGCTGCTCGCGGGGAATGGAGATTGATGTGGGGTGACAGTGCTGGGGGACACGTGGCACGCCGCCCTCCTGCCCCAATGGAGCCATCCCTGCTGGCTGCACAGCTCTGCCAGCACAGCTATAATTACCTCCGGGGGCTGAATAATGCATGGCCCCAATGGAGTGCAGTGCTGCGGCACAGGGATCAGCGTGCTAAGACCTTGTCTGCTGTCCTCCTCCATTACTGATCCCCTCTCTGCCCTGGGGCTGCCTGACAGGTGGCCTGGAGGGGATCACGATGGCTAATCCCAGCACGGGGCCACGGTCAGCACCGGGTGCTGAGGGCTGGATACTCACATCCACAACAAGGAAGCCGGCTGCCTGGATGTGGCGCCGAGCCATGGCATAACGACCCAGCAGCTCCTTGCTCCTGTTGCTGAAATTTGGGAATTCCCACCTGAGGAAGGCAATCCTGCAAAAGGGGTGGAAGAGAGCATTCAGATTGGTGCTGGGCAACCTCAGCCCCAGAGCAGCTTTGAGCACTCATGGCTCAAACTTAGTTGATCCGCAGCCCACGCTGGATGGCAGACATTGCTTTTCCCATCCAGGAAGGAGTCAGCTTGGCCCCTGGGCTCTGTGGGCAGCCAGGAACGGTGGCAGACAGTTGGCACAGGTTCTCTGTGGAGGACGTGCCAGACAGGGGAGGCTGCTGCCACAGCCGGCATCCTGCCCTGTCCCTTGCAACGTGACCCACGGCAGCTTGGCATGGTCCTACCCCCTTTTCTATCCAGACAAGTAGACGCAGCTGGGCACAGTGACCTTGGCACACTGGCATCCCCACAGCACTGTCCCCTGCTGCCTGCAGCCAGCCACAGGGACAGCAAAGCCTTGTTTCTCCCACTGCGCCTGGTGCAGCTGAGCCCAAACCCACCTCCTGGCACCCGGAGGCAGCGGCTTTGTTCCTTCTGAGTGGGGCAGATGGGGAGCAGCAAAGTCCTTCAAGGGGAGAGGTTTGTTTTCGCTGTTCAGCACCATTTCAGCATCTGCAGAGAGGAGGAAAAGGAAGGAGTCCTGAGGATGCTTTTCCATGGAGGCTGGGGAGGCCCTCACTGTGGGGCTGACGTGGGGCGCGGCATCCATCAGGGAGGGTCCCCATCACCTCCAGCACAATGCCTGTCTGTGGCACCATTCTGTCCCCAGGGTCCCACAGGAAGGGACGTGGGGCACACAGACTACAGCTCTGCTGTGGCAGCTGGATGGCCAGCCCTTGCCATGGAGAGGGCAGGGACTGAATTTAACGGGACTGCATTGGTGAGGCAGAGAGATGTGAGGCTGAAGAATGAGAGGATGACCTCAGGCACAAAGCCTTTACGTTGATCCCCCTGCAGCATGCAGACCCCAATGGGACCCCGCTGCTCCAAGGAGAGGCTGTGCTCACCGATCTGCCAGCCGTAGATGGTGTGCACATCCCAGCGCCCGTTGTCCTGGCTGCCCAGCACGCCTGCCAGGGCCTCCCGCAAACTGCTCTGCAGCAGGGTGACCTTCTCTGCTGCTGGCTCTGCAGCACTCAGCATCCCGGCCGGCAGGAACGGCCCCTGGTACTCAGGGCTCTCCAGCTTGGCAGCAGCATTGATTTGGATGAGTTTCATCCGCAAGTTCTGAGCCCTGGGGGACAGATCGCCTGGCAGGAGGAGGAAAACAAAGAGCTGATCCTGCGGCTTGCTCAGCTCATCCAATCAGGATTTCTGGTTCCAATCCCACTGCTGCTGCTCTAACAGGGCCTGATAATCCACCAGGATGGATCTCTAACTGTTGGCATCAAGATGCAGATTGCCACATACGTGCTGCATGGGCAGAAGGGGCTGCACTGCCCGAGCACAGGTCGAGACCCTACTGAGCCCCTGCTTGGATGGCACAGCCCCAGTGTCTGTGGCACGATTTTATCCCCAGGGTCCCATGGGAGGGGACGTGGGGCCCATGGACTACAGACGTTGCTGTAGCAGCCGGATGGCCAGTGCTCACCATGGAGGAGGCTGAGACTGAATTTGACTGGGCTGCACCTTCCCCATGTGTGGCTAAGAAATACCAAGCCTTCCCCTCACGTTTAAGTGCTTGGGGAAAATGTGCAGGCAGCACTGGAGCCAAGAACAAAGCTAAGCCTTGGGGCATAAGAAAGCTGAGGGCGACGACACCCTGCTAGGCTCAACCCCACAGGCACACTGCAGGGTAGACCAACCCCTCCAAGCTCAACAGCTGAGCTCACAGCCTGTGCTGGCCCAAAGGTAGATACACTAGCCCCAGTATTCCCACTCCCTGAGCTCCAGCTCCACGTCCCACCTTACCTTGGATCACAGCGTGGAAGTCGGGCGCCAGCACATGCTGCAGGTAGGGAGGCTTGGCTTGCTGCAGCACACAGAGTGACCAGACCAGGTCGGTCAGCAGCTGCGGCTCCAGGCTGTCCAGCTGGCCCTGCAGCTCCTCATGGGCCTGCCAGAGCCAAAGCCACAGCTCAGCACATCTCTGCAGATGACCCTGCTTCTGCAGTGCTTCTACTGGGCTATTTGCTGATAGAATTCAGGACTGTTCTACAGCAGTCTTGCTGCAGATTCACAGGGTTCACAGTTTCAGGTGCTGGTGGCTTTTTTTTTTGTGTGTTTTTTTTGCTTGTTTGTTTTTTGCAATGCCTCAAAAATCAATAGTTTTGCACTTGCTACAAAAACTCCCTTCATGCTGACTATGATTACTGTTGGCAAAGAGTCCAGACCCCACTGCCAACCAAGGATGCTAACCCTATCTCTGTGGCATGAAGGTCTCCCTCCACTTGGTCTCATCTCTTTACCCTGGGCTGCAGAAATCTGCGTGCAAAGCCCCCAGGCAGGACAGCAGTGAACAGCTCTATGGATGGCAGCCTCCATCCTTCCCAACAGCACTGC